GTGTGTTTGGCGGGGGTGGGGGTTGGGGAGGCATGTTTAACAATGAGCTCTATCTGCAATACTTAAGTGCCATAACAATGATTTGACTACTTGATTCTCAGATAAGGATGATAATCGATAAGTTTGGTAGAGCAGCAGTGAGGATTGCTTGGCATGATCCAAATCAAGTGACTGAACATGTTCTAAATGGCTATACAAAGGTAACTTAGCTCTGTTCTTGTGTCTTGTTAGCTTTGAAAATATTAGAATGAAATATTTGATGTTATTCATTTTTTGTTAACTGCGTATTTCTTACCTTGAAGTTATTTATAAATGCAGCCTTTAAGGGCCAAGGGTTGGGACAAGGCTCTTGCAGAGTTCACTGCAGCAACACTCACAAATGCCGAGTCTGAATCAAAGCCATCAATGTCAAAAAGACTTAATGAAATCTCATGTCCTGGTACTTGCATTAACTTTACGTCCAGTCTTCCAAAGCTGTTTAACTCTGGAAAACTGCTTATCTTGAAAAATATCTGTTAGGAAGTAAAGATTGAGAAATGAAGACAGTGACATGAAAGGCATTTGGGTGGATTGGTGCTATTTTTTGGTTCATAGTAATTGTACTAGTCAAACTAATGTGGCACCTCGTCTCTAATCTGAAATTTTTAGGACCAGTGGGATGGGGAGGGGGCATGGAGGTTTAACATATGGTTCAACGAAGGACCTTTTCTCTTTGAGAATTTCTCTACATAGATAGAAATTCTTGGTTTAGCATCATTCTTTCGAGTCATGAAAATACCATCTGCCATGCCACCTTAATTATTTTAATTAACTGGTTAAATGAAATGCTGATTCTTGTGTTTTTGTTGATGGATAATGGACTACCAGTTTTGATCATCACGGGTGACAATGATAAAATTGTTCCATCTTGGAATGCCAAGGGACTTTCACAAGCTATACCTGGTTCTTGTCTGGAAGTAATTAAGAACTGTGGCCATTTGCCACACGAAGAAAAAGTTGAAGAATTTGTTTCAATTGTTTATAAGTTTCTGCACGGAGCTTTTGGTGATCAGAAGGAACTATCTTTGCAAGCAGGAGCAGTAGTTTAAATTATGACCCCCGACTTGCATCCTTCTCTTAACTTGTATGTATTTGAAAGCTGTTAGTAGAACAGATGAGAACACCTTGTGAATTGTGTAAAAGTAGCTTTCTGATATGGTCTGAACTATGATTTTCTGTTGATTTGATGAAATAGTATTACACTTGAAAAAAGTATTCAATTGCTCAACTCAGAGAAACAATGACGAGTAGTGATATTCTGATGACTACTATATGGTGATTTCTTGCTATTATTCTTTCGCCCCTTCTCCCTCCCGGTGGCTTGAAATTCTTTCACACATTACTTGTGACACGACGAAAAGATTGATGTCTTCTCTCAAATGCAGGAGTGTTGAAGTAATAAATAACCCGGCAAGACCGGGGTCGAACCACATGGAGGTTAATTATACAAATTATAAATAACAATAACGCAGCAACAACAATAACAATAATAATAACAATAATAATAATAAAGAAAAAGAAGGAGAAGAAGAAGAAGAAGAAGAAGAAGATAAGAATTTTGAGATGAAATATTAATATAACGATTAAACAATGATAATAACAAATGTCAAGGTTAGAGAATCCACTAATGGTATGTCAAACAAGTATAATATAAACTCTTATTATTCAATTGGAAACCACACACAAAGGAGGTTCCAATCAGATTATAGATTGTTAACATTATTACATTAGTCGTCTTATTCGATTAATGCTAATACTTGTAAATTTCGTCAAGCATTCATGATTATAACTTATGTTAACAACAAATCAAGTTCCTTTCATAGCTCAGGTGTCGGTTATACCATACATTATGGGCTATGAAAGTGCCAAGCATTTGTTGTACCAAGTGTTATACAACATAAATCAAGATTAGTCATTTAACAAGCAAAGTATTAAATAGTGAACAAGATAACAAATACAAAACATGTTAGTATCAAACATTAAAGTCCATATTGAGTTTACACTATACTTATTCTTACACCACTAGTGTAACCTTTTCACCTTGACATAATAAACTTAGCTAGACATAATAAAAGAAAGAAAAATAAATAAACAAAATAAGAACATAAATAAGATAAAAGTTAACTAAGCAAATGAAAGGAAATGAAAGGCATAAACTTGATATTAATGAAAGTAAAGCATAAACATTACAAAAAATACAAAGAGAGAAAGCAAAAGCATGATCTTGATCTGGAGACCAAGATGCCTAAATGCATGGCAAATGCCTCCTTTTATAAGCCAAAATTGGGAACTATTGATTTGATGACTAATTGATAAGTGGGTGACAAACTCTTGACTTGGTGACAATCCTTATCTTCTCTTGTCTGCCCAAAACGTCATTGATAACGTCAAAATTGGAGCCACTTGAAAACATAAACGTTGTAGGCAATTGTCTCAGCTTTCTTGTGTAAAACATTCAGCTCATTTGGACTTCTAGAACTCTAGATATGGCCAAAATACTGAACAGTGCTCAGGCTGGAGGACAGCTTCGGGCTTCTTTGTTGTTGCAATAATTTCGACTTGAAAATGGCCTTATTAGATCTTGGGCTCCATATGAAAGTTGTAGGCCTATGTCTTACCTTTCCATCCATATAAAGTAGACTTAAATCTGAGATCTATAGCTCCAGATATGACCCAATTACCGAATAGTGTTCTGATTTGGATTGCACCGACATCTCTTTTCTAAGTTTGGTCATCTCTTTATCCTTGCAATTTAAGTTCTTAAAGTCATCAATCAATCCTTTCATTTATGTGATAGGCCTGCATTTAAAATGAACATTTACCACAAATTAAAGGTATCTTATATTGTTAGATATATTATTATAAAACATGCTTTAGTTAAGGAGTGATTGATACTTCAAGTGCAAAATGATGATATAAAACCATGATAAAAATGCACTTTTAAGTACTAATCACACCCCCCAACCAGCTTATTACTAGTCCTTAGTAATCAAAGCGTTAAAATTGAAAAACAATTTGCAAATTCCACAAAGCAAGGTATTCATCATTTAACTTCCATTAATCTATCCAGATAAACAAACTCTCATTAAATTTATATATCTGCTCATTACCTCTTAACAATATATTAATAAACCTTTCTTTTATGCTCAATATATCAGCACATAATTATAGGGCTTTTCTTGGAAGAAAACAAAATTTTTGTTCTAATGTTTAAGGTTAACTTCCTTGGGTTGGGATTATTATTTTTGTCTTTTTTTTTAAATGTATATACATATAATTTAAAAACATCATGCATCTTTAACCCATGTAACAAGCTTTCAGCTAATGACTCCCAAACCAGTTGGTCTTAGGGCATTAGGTGTTAAGACACCCCTACGAGCTTAGTAACTCAGGTCGTAGATAATGATATGTGGATAGTGCAATGTTTGATTCCCTTAAGCTTTTCTCCTCAACCCATGTAACAAGCGTTTGGGCCAATAGCTCCCAAGTCAGTTGACTTTAGGGTATTAGGTGTTAAAACACCCATTCGGGCTTAATTGCTTAGGTTAGGGAGGCTACGAAACCAAACTTATCTACATTTTTATTATCATTATTTTTATTTTTTTTATTTTTTTTGCACTTTTTTTTTGTTTAAATAAGATACTATCCCTTTCCCTTAGTTGTTACCCTTAACAAAAGAACATAAATAATGTAATAATCCAATGTGCAACCCACCATCATATGTTAAAGTGTGTGTGAAAATTAAGGTTTAAGAATATATGTTAAATGAGTATATGTGCAGAATTAGGTGATAATAATGCAAGAGTTTGTAAATCTAAATATTTCAGGAAGTATTGTAATAAACCTTGTTAAGAATGGTTATTAAGATGCGTCTCAAGAGTCACTTTAACAAAAGAGCTCCTTTACTCTGCCATCCTAGCAACAACAATTATGCATATGCTTTATGAAATAGAAAACAATTTTTTTTATATCAACTATTACCCTCTCCCCTCAACTAAAACGAGACATTGTCCTCAATGTTCTAAGGTAGAAAGATAGAGTATAGAAGATATCACCTGAAATAACGAACACTAACAAACCTGAAACACACTTAAACAAATATAAGAAACAACAAAACACAAATATTATGCTATTAATAAAACCAAAAGACACAAGTTTTTACAAAAAAAAAAATTCAAATCGCAGTTGTGATTGTGGCTCACATCTTCCCTTGGTTTTACGTCCAAGAACGACTTAAACACCCTCTATGGGTCGGGGATAGGCTTCCCATCCAGTTTTCTTAAAAACCAACAAATAGGGTTTTTTTTTAGTCAGATTCCCAAGACTATGTTGAGCATGTTCCTTATGGAATATTGGCCATAAATCATGAAATGTATGATGCTTATCTCGACTATGATGAGACTTAAGAGTCAATAAAAGATTATCTAAAGACTCTCTGTGTTTTGAAATAAATCCCACCTTTTGACAATTTTCACAGGTTTTGCGGAATGCATGTGATTCCTTGAATATGGTGAGCCAATAAAATCTGCTTTGTAAGATTTCTACAATCCTCTTTTTTGACGAGAAATGATCCCCACGAGCCTTAGAGTGACAAAATTTAATGAAATTACTTACCTCATTGTCGAGAATGTATTTTTGAAATATTTGATCAGGACAATAATTGAATAAGTAGGGGTCATCCCAATAGAAATTTTGCACATTGCTCAAAAATTTTCTTTTGTCTTCAGTACTCCAGTGAGCTGGAAAAAATCCTGAAGCAAGAAAATTGATATTTTTAGCAAACCAAGGCATTAAACTAAGAGAAAGTAAAGATTCATCAAGAAAGTAATCATCGATTGGTGTGATGTCGGGTGTTGAATTTGTTGTCACTTTTAATAAAAGATCCGTATCAACATTTTCAGTGCCTTTTTCATCCTTGATTTCTTCCTGATTGGTCATGGCATGAGAAAATGGAAGTGCTGGAGCGGAATCAGTCTTTTCTTTGCAATGTTCAGATTCAACCCCTTCCTTACACTTAGAGATTGACTCATCATCTTTCTCACAAGGTTCAAGAATTTGTTTTTGAATAACCTTACCACTACAAAGAGTGATGATTGATTTGACTTGATCCATGTGTTGACTTCCAGGACTACTTGCATTTGCATTGTATTGCCCTTTGGGATTTTGCTGTGGTTGAGATGGAAACTTACCTTTCTCTTGAAAATTGAGAGCAGATGTGAATTTTGCAAGAGTATCTTTAAAATCTGTTATGCTTTGAGCAAGTTGAGTGTTGATTGTCTCTTGCTTTTCAATGAATGCATACAAAGTTTCCTCAAAATTTCTTATAGGAGGTGGAGCATAAGGAGGTTCGTATTTATGATAATTTTGGAAATTTTGGTGTGCTTGAAACGGTGGTTGTGAAGTTTGTGCATTGTTGTTCTCACTCTTCCAACTGAAATTTGGGTGATTTCTCCAACCAGGGTTGTATGTTTGGGAGTATGAGTTGTGGTTGGGCCTTTGGAGACTATTTAAAGTATGAGCTTGTTCATGGAGACATTCCTTAAAAGAAGGCAAGGTTGGACAATCGTTGGTTGAGTGTTCATTTGTTTCACAGATTTGACACACAATGTTTTCAACAGATTTTAATTGACCACTCTTTTTCAATTCTAGTGCCTCGACTTTTCTAGCTAAAGATGCAAACTTGGCTTGAAGGTCATGATCTTTCCTAAGGTTGTACATACCTCCACTAGATGTATGAGGTTGAGTTTTACTCGGTGCCTCATAAGTACCCGCGGTGTCCCAATTTTGAGCATTTTCAGCTAACAAGTCTAAGTACTCCATTGCTTCATCAGGGTCTTTATCTTCAAAAGTTCCATTGCACATCAATTCAACCATTTGTCTATCTCTAGGTGTTAACCCTTCATAAAAATGTGAAACCAATCTCTATGTTTCAAAACCATGATGAGGGCAAGTATTAAGCAAGTCTCGATACCTATCCCAACATTGGTAAAATGTTTCTCCTGGTTTTTGAGTGAAAGTAGTGATTTGTCTTTTGAAAGAGTTTGTTCTGTGAGATGGGAAAAACTTCTTCAAAAACTGTTGTTGCATTTCATCCCAAGCACGAATGGATCCTAGTCTTAAATTTTGTAGCCATGTTTTAGCTTTATCTTTTAATGAAAAAGGAAAAAGCTTTAATCTGATGGTGTTCATGCTACAATTTAAATTATTATATGTGTTGCAGACCTCCTC